TAGAGAGAGAGAGAGGAGGAGGGAGGAGGAGAGGGAGGGAGGGAGAGGTAAACGAAGCAAACGCGCGCTCGTGAAATGAGATTAATAAAGATTAGCAAAGTCGGAATAATATAATATGATCTCGTTAGAGCGATTAGCCCGCGGAGCAGCGGGCTGCAGAATGTCTGGCTTCTTCCTGCACGCGGTCGCCTACCCGGCCATAAGTCCGTAAGTCGGTAAGTAACCGTAAGTAAGACTCGACGACGAGGGGGAGAGGCTCCCCTCCCCCCCTCCCCGAACAACAGGAAGCCCCTTGCGGGTGGTGTAGGCACACCACCTTTCGAGACCGCGAGACCGGAATTAAATTCCCTTTTCCGCTCCCGAAATTTCCGCCCCCTCTCGAGAAACGAGAAGAGTAAGAATAGGAATAAGAAGGAGAATTATAACCTTTCCTCCTTTCTCCCCCTCCACTGAACGTGTAACGTGACACGTTTTCGACGTCTTAATTCAATGCGACGTAACACACGCTCGAGAGAGCTCTCTAAACTGCCGGTTTACTCGTGCAATTAAAAGAGGAGGGGGAGGGAAGAGTTGGAAAGAGTAGCAATGGAAATTCGGATTCGACGTTTGCGCGCTATTTGCACGCCACGTATTCGTAACGTATTCTTCGTATCGGATAGATCTATCCGTTCCGTTCGATGTAAAATTGGTTAGACGACAAAAGATGGAAAAGATCGCGAGAGACTTTTGAGCGGAGCGCGAAAAGGAGGTGCGTTACGTAAAGGAAATGACTCGATCGAAATGGAGGTTATCATCGTGACGCGTTGAAAAACGCATGCATATGGATGGTGCCGCGTAGCGGCCGCCAAGCGAATTAATTTCTCCATAGTCCGCCACGAGATCCTCCTTCGAACGAATCTTCGAACGTTAACGTTCAGATGGATTCGCTTTCCGAGTTTTTCTCTCCGTCCTCGTGATTATTACATCTTAATGCATATATATATATTTTCTTTTCACATCGCGCATACATTACGCGAATATATGTGTATATATATTTGCGACGACGGATTGAAATCGTTCGTGAATAAAAAAAGAGGTAGAAAAAAGTCAAGGTCTTCCTCGCCTCGATTCGCTAATTAAACGACGTCGTTCCACGTAAACGCGTTTATTTTACGAATATTTTTATATCGATCGAGAAGAGTTTTATTAGTTTCCAGTTTTCGACACGAACGATAGGCCGAAATTCAGACGGATGGATCGGAGAGAGAAGGCGGTGGTGATCGAGGTTTATCGAGGGTAGAGAGACAATAGCGCAATTGTGCCGGATAGATTATTTCAAATCTCGCTTCTTCCTTTTTTTTCCATCGATTCATCTTCGAATCTCAATCTCTCCAAAGTTTCTTCGCATATATGAGATCGAGAGAGATACGAAAAAAGCATACGGAATCCCTTTGTGTAAAATTAAATCGTAAACTTATCCGACCTTGAATTTTCGAGGTTGCGAAGGAACGAAGGAAAAGGGGATCGAGAAGGTTTTCGAGAAGGGTGTCGAAGATGGAAAGGGGAGGAAAGTGCGAAAAGGGAGCGCGCAATAGGTGGACTGTCGCGCAATAACCGGAGACGAAGAACCTTGTACGGGACGCGTAACCGCGAATGGGAGGTTCCCTGGCCCCTGTAATCGGCAGATTAATGTCCGTTCCTCGAACTTAATCTCGGCCGATATCGATGGCCGAACACGATTTCGGCAGCCAAGACTCGGCCATTCTATTGTCCACCCATCCATCCAAGGTGGACCGTCTCCATCGATCGATCGATCGATCGATCGATCGATATTGTTGTTTAAGGAGAGACGCGACAAATTGACGATAATTCGCGACCGTTTGACATCGGTTGACATGAAAATCAATTCGTCGTAATAAAGAGATCGAGCCGACAATCACCGCGATTACGCCAATGAACGTCGAATGCGGAAGGCGTACGAGCCTCGTATACACACACACGCACGCACACACACACATATATATATATACGTGTTTCTATGAATCTCAATAAAGATTCGCCAATCCCGACCGCCGTTAAATCCTCGTTCGATCGTTCCTCGATGCGTGGTCGTTAATCGGGCGAAATTGAGACGAGGCGAGTGGCGGAGGAGGCGAAGAATCGTCGTCCTTCTTCTTCTTCTTCGATCGAAATATTTCGAGAAAAGGATCCTTCTCTCGAAAACGAGGAGCGAAAGCGTTCGCGGAATAGGCGCCAGGGGAAAATCAGGGGGTGGCGGGCAATTAAGATTACCGCGAATAGAAATTATCGCGTCGGATTAACCGCGTTATCGCGACACCCAGAGAGAGAAAGAGAAAGAGAGAGTCTAACAATGGTAAATATCGTTAGACCGTAATTGGAACGCCAAACAGAGAGAGAGAGAGAGAGAGAGGAGGGAGGGAGGGAGGAGATAGATGTAACTCGAGCGTTCAATTAAGAGACGGACTCTTAACCCGCTCGAATCTTCGCGCGGGCCGAGCACAAATTGTTGGAATTAACGAGCGCGGACACCCAGAGCACGGAGGAGGAGAAGAAGGAGGGGGAAAGGGGAGAGGTCCCAGATGCGCGACAGCTAATCTCCACGGAATTATTTTTAGCGGCGTTTTAAACGGTTTCAAACGGTAACGTCATCCAGCAGCTAGCTCTTCACGTTTCGCGGAAACCGTGCTTCCCACCCATCGTCGAACAAACGATCCGAGCACGCGTCGCGTCGGAGAAAATCGAGAAGCGTTTCGTTCGGCGAAAGAGGATCAGCGATTGGTCGGTTAATTGGTTGAACAAGACATTTCCGTGAAATTTTAACGAGAGTTTGAGAGAAAAAAGAGAAATTAGAAATTACCGACGGAGGCGTGATTCGGTAGGTAGATAGGTAGGTAGGTAGATAAGAATGCCCTAAGGGAGGACGCGTAACTTCTGATTTCCGGGCACGATACGTCACGATTAACCCTCGTCCACCGGCGACATCGTTCTTCGTTACATCCTCCAAGGGAAGGAGGAAGAGGGCGAACCGATAGGGAAAAAAAATAAAATTTCGAAATCGCCTCCCCCTCCGCCACTGTTTCCTCGTCTCCATTACATCGTTATTAGACTCCCGCGTAACGCGCTCGTCACTCGTCCGTAGGGGCGACACCCTGCCGAGTTATTAATGACCGACCGAGTTCCTCTTCGCTCTCTCCTATCCGCGGACAAGGAGAGAGAAGGAAGGAAGGGAGGGAGGGAGGGAGGGAGGGAAGAGCTTACCTTCGCAGGTGAACTGGCCGTAGTGTTTGCCGCTGCTCTTGTCCCCGCACACGACGCACTCGATGTTGGCGATTTGTCGGTTTGCGAGCTGCCCGACTGGGAGCTGTTCGCCTGGCTGCCGGGGGTGGTGCTGGGCGGCAAGGGGTCCCTGGGCGTGAGAACCCCGGCCGGGGGCACGAGGCAGGTGATGTCCTCCGGCGTGGCCGAGGGCGTGA